CTTTTTTTTTTTTTTTTTTTGAGTTGGAGTCTCACTCTGTCGCCCAGACTGGACTGCTGGCTCGACCTGCTGGGCTCCGGCGATCCTTCCGCCTCAGCCTTCCGAGTAGCCAATTTACAGGCGCACGCTACCATGCCGGGCTAATTTTTTGATTTATTGTAGATATGAGGTCTCGCCAAGTTGCCCAGGCGGGTCTCAAACCCGCAGGCTCAGGCAATCCACTCACCTCAGCCTCCCAAAGGCGCGGGATTACAGGCTGAGCCACTGAGCCCGGCTCCAATCCCTTTCTTATAGTATTATGATAATTGTTTGAGGTTCACTTATATGTGAGAACATATGGTACTCTGTTCTTTGTTTCTGTGATAGATCACCGAGTATGATCGCTTGGAGTCATTCTTAAGTATAAATATAGGTTACTTGAAAACAAGTATTTCAACAGAGACAGTCGATCTGATAAGCAAGACAGCTGCAACTTGACCAACAGGAGGGAAGGTAGGCAGTGTGGGTCTATTGAACAAAGTGATGATTCACTTCTGGGGGGACAAAGCAGGATGGCACAAAATTTAATCACACCTACTCAGAATAGCTTGCAATTTAAAACAGGTTATTTCTGAACTTTTCCACTTACTTTTTCTTTTTGAGATAGCATTTTGCTCTGTTGCCCTCTTTTTTAGTTGTTGGAGTGCAGTGGCACACTCACGGTCACCCCAGGGTTGACCTCTTGGGCTCAGTCGATCCTTCCACCTCAGCCTTCCAAGTAGCCAAAACTACAAGCATATGCTACCATGCCGGACTAATTTTTTGATTTATTGTAGAGACAAGGTCTCACCATGTTGCCCAGGCTGGTCTTGAACCTGCGGGCTCAGGCAATCCTCTTGTCTCAGCCTCCCAAGTGCTGGGATTACAGGCTTGAGCCACTGCACTTGGCCTGTTGCCCTCTTTACATTGATTTGGTGAGAGAATTAAATTAATAGAAAACAGAAAATAAAGTTGCTTATTAGAACTTTAGAAACTTTTTAACCATGTTTCTTTAAAATTATTAAACTTCATAAAGCTTCTCAATGTTTTGTCACTACTCCCTTAACCCAGCCTCCAAACTCCTCTACTAATGTAGATGCTCTTGATGTCCCAGCCAGGTCCCATTTTGGGATACCACAGCTAAAACATTCCAAGATTTGATGACAACTATATCATCAGTAGACATTACAAGGTATTTTTTGTTGATAGTGAACTCCACAGCCATTCAACTATTAATTGCACGAATTAATTATGCAAACATGTATTAAGCTCCCACTCTAAATCCAGCACTCTGCCAGGCTCTGTGGATACAAACATGGAACGAACACTTGGCTCTACCCTGAAGGAACTCACGGTCTAAGGAGAGCGGGGAGCATATTAGTTTAGATACAGGGTAAGGAACGATGTCCCTGGGAGGGGGAATGGTATATGCAGAGGCATAAAGGATAATGAGCATTTTAGTATGACTAGAGGCCAAGGTAGGATTACATGAGGTTGGTAAAGTATATGGATGCCTCTGGAAGGTCATGTTATAGCAAACAAAGGAGATCATATTGTATTGTGAAAAGGTGAGCCACTAGAAGACCACATATTGATATGGTTAAAATAAAATTATAGAAACATAATTCTGGAGGCATTATATAGGATGCATTAAAGGGGAAAACTAGAGGAAGGAGAATAAGTCAGGAAACCACTAGGACGGCCCAGTGAACCCAGTAGTAATGCACTAAGTCAGCAGTTCCCAACCTTTTTGGCTTCAGGGACTAGTTTCAAGGAAGACAGTTTTTACACAGACAGGGATGGGGGCAATGGTTTCAGGATGATTCAAGTGCATAACATTTATTGGGTACTTTATTATTATTACATTGTAATATGTAATGAAATAACTATACAACTCACCATTTAAAAAAAAGAGGCAAGCCGGGCTCTGTGGCTCAGCCTGTAATCCCACGCCTTTGGGAGGCTGAGGTGAGTGGATTGCCTGAGCCTAGGGGTTCGAGACCCGCCTGGGCAACTTGGCGAGACCTCATCTCTATAATAAATCAAAAAATTAGCCGGGCGTGGTAGCACGCGCCTGTAGTTCCAGCTACTTGGAAGGCTGAGGCGAAAGGATCACCGGAGCCCAGCAGGTCGAGGCTGCGGTGGCCGGGAGCGGCTGTTGCACTCCAGTCTGGGCGACAGAGTGAGACTCCAACTCAAAAAAAAAAAAAGTTAAAAGAAAAAAAAAAAAAGGCACAGTGGAAGTGGTAAATAAAATAATAGGTCACACGCAAACTAAAATAAGTGTTGGATTCTGACTGAAAGCCTGCCACCAGATGGAGTTGAAGTACATCAACTCACTTGCCACTCACTGATAGAGTTTTGATATGAGTTGGCAAGCAATTGATTTATGATGGTCTCTGTCCAGTCAAACCTCGCTGCTAATGTTAATCTGTATTTGCAGCCACTCCTCAGTGCTAGCATCACAACCTCAGCTCTACCTCAGATCAGCAGGCATTAGATCCTCACAAGTAGCGTGCAACCTAGATCTCTTGCATGCTCAGTTCACAATAAGGTTTGCGCTCCTATGACTATCTATTGCTGGAGCTGATCTGACATGAGGTGGAGCTCAGGCAGTAATGCAAATGATGGGGAGCAGCTATAAATACAGATGAAGCTTTGCTTACGTGCCTGCTGTTCACCTCCTGCTGTGCTGCCCAGTTCCTAACTGGTTCTTGTCCTGGGAGGTTGGGAACCCCTGCTTTAAAACTCACCACTTTAGGCTGTAGTTCATCCACTTATAAAAATAAGTTAATGAATATTTGCCAACCACGAGTTTCACAGGAGTATTATTTACATTAATTAATAATAAATACTTCTTGAAATACACACATGGAAAAGCATATAAATAGAATACAAACTGGAAATCATTTTTAGCCTTTCTCTGAATAAATGTCCCAACCAAATTGATAGATACAATAATCACAATTGTATCTAGGATCCTCATTTCCAAGAGCATTCTCATTCAAGTGGCTCTTTGCCAAGAACAGTGATCATCTGGTTGTTCTATTCTCTAACACTAATTGGTATTCTCAAATTTCTGCTTTCCTTGAGGGAGATGCAGAAAAGAAATATATGCCCATTATAACCTTCTAGGAATAAACTGAATATAAACTAATGAAAATGTAATTCTGAGCCGGGCTTGGTGGCTCAGCCTGTAATCCCAGCACTTTGGGAGGCTGAGGTGAGTGGATTGCCTGAGCCCACGGGTTCGAGACCCATCTTG